GAACAAAGAGGGAAAATCTTATTTTTTTTAATTACGAGCGTCAGCCTGTACAGTTACTTCGTGGAAACCCCTTCCCTAGTTGGCGGTAGCTCCGCCTTCTCACTACACTATTCTCTCGTAACACGTATTAACCAGCTCCCCTGGAGTCTAGTGAGATAGTCTTCCCTCAACTGCCTTCGAAAGATTCCGGAAAACACGAAGAGAACCCATTCACACCTTGCTTTCTGCATCAAGAATTTCCGGTTTTGTCGCGATTGCTGTGTTACTCGTGATTATGCTGATGGGTGATCTAATAGTAAACGAAGTACAGTACTGCACAGCAATCCCAATCACGTGTTCGGACGTCGCAAGGAAGAAAATCGTTGAAAAATTACTGGCCCCAGTTTACATGACGGCATTATACATTTATGCACGTCTTCAAAATATGCGAGGAGGTCCGAAAGTTCGCAGAATATCAGTCACAGCTTGAAATCTCAAGTACTGTACAGTGCTTTTCACTCAAGTTTAGACCATGTTCGACATATTTTTCAGATTGCATCAAAATATATTAAAATATGTATTGGTCACTGCGGGAAATTGAGATGTGTGGCGATCAGGAAGTAACACAGCTGATGCCAAGAACTATGACAAATAACGAACTGATTTCATCATGTTTCAAGCGGTTCATTGTGATTTATTTTTTGAAAGGTTTGAGAGAAAGGGAAAAATTCATTTCGATGCTGAAGTTTCAAATTTCCTTGAGTCATTCAAAAAAATGACGGAGAATCAAAACTTATGTCAGCCCTGGATGCACTAGATTTCTAAAAATGCGTCGAAACAGGCGGCAATTACGCTGAAAAATTTTTTCTATACAAAAAAATACGACGGGTTTCTTGTGCCTCGCAAACCACGAACAAGTATTTATCGCGATTAAATGAAACTAATATACATTCCTCATCATCGATTTACTGTTGATTAACGACGAACCTCCCATCTTATTCCATCCATGCGAGGAACACGGAAAAAGGATAATTTTGTACACGAGTTCTGTGCGCTCTAAGTTTAAAGTTGCACAATCCGCTTCCAGTTCGCGCAAATTTTCAGTTCTAAAATTGGACCGGAATTCCCCGAACTCCATGCATTCACAAGATGTTTATAAATCTTCAACTCTTTTCTTACTTATTCGTCATTTCTATGATTCACATAGACGATTCTGTAACCCGAAACCAGAAATAAATCAGTTTATGGTCCGATTAAACAAGAAGACAGCGAAGTATTTGAGTACAGTATTTGAAATTGATTTCGTTTCATCAGAATATTTAGCGGGGAAAAATGCTCGCTCCACCGGATGCAATAGGTGGGGGGCATTCGCACATGCTTCATCAGCTAGACAAATTCCTGACGTACACGGTTTACGAGAGAAAGAGAACAATTTCTGACGCCATCAATAACGACATCATCGGGGCTGTACACGCAGTTCTCCAGGAAATTGAAGCAATGGAACCACGCTTCATACCCAGCCTACAGTTCAAAAATGCGCCAAATCGTCATGATGGTAAGTAAAAAATTGATAGGTCATAAGTAAAGGCAAGCTAAACAGGCGAGGACAAGGTTATCATCACTTCAACGCTCCAAGTCCCTGACCCTGATTAATTTTTAAAGATTTCACGAGACTTTTCGGAGGTCGGTAATTGGGTAAACGAATGGGATTTTCAACATTTTTAGGGCAGAAATTATTTTAGTCGCTTCCCATATTCTTCAAGCCTTTTCATTTTGAAATTTTGTCTACCTTTTCGAGGTGGAGTGGCGCAGAATATTTATTTTTACAGGAATAAGAGATTTTAATTTTTGCGGGGTATAATTGATTAAGTCCTTCCAGTGCGTTTCCCAACTTCCACATCAGCTCTGGGACTCGACCATTTGTGTAGGTCCGATTTAAATCAGTCTTTTTTGCGAGTTTGGACTAGGCTACGAGTCAGGGATTCAGGATAGATGCCGTAGGGATCTAGGACAATTTGAGGCAGAAATATATGAATATAAGGACAGTTTGAGGCAGAAACATTTAAAGATAAGGACACTTTGAGACAGAAACGTTCGGAGCTGGGTACAATTTAAAACTGAAAATTTAGAAACATGTAAAATTCAAGACGTGAACATGTCAAGAGCAATTTTATTTCATAATTTGACGCATAAGTGAATGGAACTCCATGCCATCTTCTTTTTCCCCGTCTCAATTGTCCCTGCCTCAAATTGTCTACCTTGATTCGTCCAGTCTCAAATTTGCTGCCTCAAATTGTGCACAACACATGCTGTAGTCATAAATCTAAATACTGCAGTAAGGTCTGTTAGGTTGGTGAATAAATATTTCTCAAAATGTTCCAGTCTCATGAATTCAAAAACTGCAATAAGGTTAGTTAGGTTGGTGAACTTTACATGCAACATATGTGGAACATTATAGAAAGCAAAGCCGAGTATTGAGTGCGAAGAATTAATTTTAATCTTTCTTTCAAGAATCTTCAAGCTTTCCGGGAGGACCCTACTATTCAGGCTTGGAAGTGCTTTCACCAACAGAATTCCAAGTGCTGCTTCACTTGAATCAAATGGGGATTTTCACCTTGTTGGACACAGAAGCGGTGGCCCCAGGAAATGCCATTCTCAAACTAAGCGATGGTCGCAAACGAAGCATGAGTCTTTGGGTAGAATTCATCACTGCATCTGGATATTTGAGCGCAAGAAAAATTCGGACCCGGTTCAATGCCTTGATCAAACAAGCATGCCTGAATCTGAATACATCTGAGATAATAGTTCTCGATGGTGAAGAAAACGGTGTGGAAGAAGCAAGATTGCAAATTCATGGGAAATATGTCGTGAATATCATACCTGCTTTCAGGTGAGCCTCTCGGAGCCGGAAACCTTTGGATAATTAATCTCAGGGGCAGGAATGATTCAAGTTGGTTTTTGAAGACAATGCCCTAAAATTCATGGGAAATATGTCGTGAATATCATACCGGCTTTCAGGTGAGCCTCTCGGAGCCGGAAACCTTTGGATAATTAATCTCAGGGGCAGGAATGATTCAAGTTGGTTTTTGAAGACAATGCCCTAGAGGAAAAAATTTGAATAAAATACTGTACAGCGACTCTTCCAATTTTTTTCAAGAGCAGAATCGTCATTAAGACCGTAAAACGAGGCAAAAACAAATATTGAATCTTACATTCAAGCATACCCGCGGCTGAAAATTGATGCTCATTTATTGATGTTACATCACTTTGCGACCTCATGTCTTTCAGCACTAGCCTCTTTTTGCTCACTCGATAGGAAACGTCATGACATACAGGTAGACTCTCTCGATGGTAATCTTGACTGAACGATTTTCTCTATATAACGACTTTTTTGGTCCCATAGGGTTCTCTGCCTATTGTATAGACTGACGGGATCCTCTCAATATGTGAAGAGAACTAAGAAATTTAGTAGTTTTCCAAAATTCAGAGGACTAGAAAAAATTTGTTGTAGAGAGTGTCCACCTGCCTTAGGAAAGAACAAGAAACTCCTCTAATTAGTCTCCCCTATTCTGCGCAATATCTGAATTACCCGTACATTATTTACTCGAGTACCAGGCGCACCAGGGTTTTTCAGTCGGGAATGTTGGTAAAATCCTATCCCCGATGAAGAATCGCACTCCATTGTTAGTGACTCTAAACCACAATATTTCAAAGATAAGAAAAACCCAAACTTCAATTTAGACATGAATTAAAATTAACTCAACAACTTTTCAGCTATTTTTATTGAAATACGTTTTTCCGTTAGACTTCGTCCATAATTTCCCCTTAGAAGCACGTTTATCGCACTCCGAAATTTTTAAAACTTTTTTTTACAATTTCTACTGTACCAAAATATGACCGCCGCCACCCCCACGGACTTTCGCTTCACGCATCAGAATAGCTCTTGACACAGCTTTCCTCTTCATAGTATGGAATTCGGAGAAATCAATTCAGTAAAGCACATAGCAGTACAAAAACTCATTGCGGGTTTTGGTAATGAAAAAAAAAGGTTCGGACTTTTTTCTCCCTTTTTCCTGCCCAAGATGCGGCATTTGGCCAAGATCTGCACGAGAAGCAATAGCCGCCAATGTGAAAGCAGTGGGTTTTGATCTGGTCAGCAAAGAAGGTCCCGTCATCCGAGATCAGAAAAACGAGTGGGCCAAGCATTGTTCTTCTTCGGCAGCTGGATCAACAAATTTCTCCACAAGTTACGCAACGCCGGCAGGCACGAGTGATTTCACTCACGTTTTTCACGCTTTTCCAAACAACAGGTACGCTCAATTATTTCCAAACGAAATAGACGCAGTTTCAGCTTTCAGATATAATCTTTATCGGCAATTCTTTTTTTTTTAATTATCATTACTTCGACTAACACACTGTAATTTTAATTAATCTCGGACTAGCAGAAAAAATAAATCGGAGGATCAAACTTTTTTATATCCGAGAAGGTGTGAGCACGCAAATCTTTGAATTTATAGCACTTAAAATCAAGATAAGTCTTTCCTTTTACCCCTTCCAACAGTATCTTACGATTTTACCATACTGTCCGCCCTGAATTCATTACTTCTTGAATTTAACTTCACACATGCATGTTGAACGATCGGCACGAATTGATGGTGAATAGCATCTTGTGCTTCGCTTCTATAAGAGGATCAAGAGCCCAATAAACCCTACTAACTTTTTAATTACAATGTGGATCTGAGAGTACCGCATGGCATCGGTGATTTGGAACCAGTAAGCAAAGTTTTCAAAATATTTCTGACGAAATAAACATGAACTAATGCCTTCAGCAGTTGGTGAAGAGTAATCATGTCATGACATCAAATTTGAGTGCAACACAATGTTTAAACCTCAATAAGTACAATAACCTGTAAGACAAGGTAAAAGTAGCTAGTAGTCATACATCAACTATTGAAGCCTACTTCTCTTTCCATTCGCATTGAAACTTTGATCGTCCACGTTCATCAAGCAATCTACATAAAATCAACGAACAGATAACGTTAGCAACGCTTGCTGTACTAAAAAAAAAGTACACATTATTCAACAGCATTCACAACTTAGCCTTTCCTCAGATGAATTATTCGCGCATAATTTAAATTTTTTACGGGACGCGCAAAAAAATCTTTCAAGAAAAACTGGATCTTCAGTTCGTCAAATGAAGCAAATACAGTCGAATCTTTCCAAGTCGAACTTCAAGCGACCAGCAATGACAATTTCGAGTTAGGGAAACAGAGATTTTTGTTGGGCTAAAAAAGAATTACAGAAAAATGTATTTAATGATATTCTAGGCCTCAAATCGCTTTTTGAATGATTTGACAGGATGCTGAACTTGGAGTCAAGAATTCATGGACCAATTAGTCTCACTTTATTTCAAAACACATAAAGTTAAACAATATTTTGCTCCTATCTTTCCTGTGTCAATAAAATAATAGTCAGAAGGCCTCCCGAAGATTCAAGTTAATGAGTTTTGAGAAGAAAGCATTCGAGTTCAGGAGGTTTTAGTGCATCGCTTCCAAGGGAATTCAGTCAGGGCATTGAAAACAAAAATTTTGACACAGGGAGGTATTTGAGTTCGAGAGTTATCGTGGTTTGACCTTACTTTAAAAAAATAATAATAATAAACATGTCAACAGACACCAGCAACAGCCGGGATTGGATTCATCCGTGTCCGCATCGATTCAGGATGCCTGGACAATGAGCTTCTCTCAAGCAGAAGAAATTATGTTGCGACCAGGCTGCAGACGCCAATGCCTCAGCATACTCAAAACACTACGCGATCGACATCTAGTCACCAGCACGGAGACTGACGCCAAAACTGTCAAGCACGACACCGTCATCACCGTTCGGGTTTTAACGGCTGTCCTGTTGAACGAATGCGAAAAACATCCCAAGGAACAAGACTGGCAACCTGCTGCTCTCGGCCAAAGGTTGAGTGGGACTTTGATACAACTCATGGCCTGTTTGCAGAGCCGCCAATGTCCCGATTATTTTGTTCCCGCACTGGATTTATTTCAAGGAGAAACTCCTGAACAGCTGGAACACGCAGCAAGGAAGTGTTGGAAACTGACCCGGGAAATTCTCACCAATTCAGCGTGTTTTCAAACGCTTTAGCGAATTTCGCACTAATGCCAGTCTTGCGTTTCTGTCAGAAAGATTCGGTGTTGATTGCATACATCTTGGAACTGTTGCTGAAATGCGCACATGAAGAAACTTTTCGAGACTGAAAATTCGAATATGTTTCAATTTTCAAGTTATAAAAACGACCACGATGCAAAATACTGTATCGAAGTTTTTCCGCTGGGATTATTTCTCGCCTTCGTCTAAACTCTAAATCACGTCCAGGGGTAGCAACTTTCTTAAAACAACCAGACATTAATCCTTCTAACGAATGCGTCAAAGAGCTAGATAATTTTCCATGATTCGTTTGCCAAGCGGATGAAACAAAACAAAAAATCGGATGTCAGCTGAAGTGTGGAAATCTCGTAAATTTTATGATACGCAGTCAAGTTTCAAGCAACATCTGGCGTCTTACGCAGCATTCGAATCCGTGTTTCTTCCGCCGCGCAAAAAATTTGCACGGCTTCTCCGGCACGGACATATTTTTCCACAGCGCATTTCTGAGTGATAAATATTGTCGCACGTGTTAACCTGCCCTCATCCAGCATTTTTCACGCTCTCGGGAGTTTCGCGACGCACTAGTGAAGTTTACTCGATAGCATCAACATTATACTGTACCCCCGTCAAATCGCAACATGTTCATACTATCTTAGCTTCATGTGCAATTCCACTGAGGAAATCAGCCGAAAATATTTTTCCAACACGGAAACAGATGCAAAACTAAATGTTGTTTTCTATAGAATCAACTGACAGGGTTTCTCAGCTTTCTAGGAAGAAAAATACTGAAAATTGAAATAGGAACCTTTGCCGCATTATTAGATTTGTTCCCGGGAAGCATGAAATTTTAGGCTCAGATCGAAGAGTCAAGAACAGTTCTTAGACTGTTTCACACATCGGATTTAACTTAACTTTCGATTATTACTACAGTATTCCATTTGTTAGATCCTAAAAATGTTCTTTGTTCGATTCACTATCAAAACTAGCGGTGAAGTGGCGGCAAAACTGAACAGAAAATTTGCCTCAAGCACACAGGTAACCGTCGAAGTCACCTTGCTGGAGACAACACAGGTTGAAATTTTCAAGAGAACTGATGCACTATCTATTTTATATTCTTTCTTACACAGAACGCCCACCTTACTTGGATGTTTTTTCTTTCTTTCGTTCATTTATCGAACAGTTGTGAACGCAAAACACCGCTGATGGCGGAAATTTCATTCCATTTATGCGCAAAGTTGAATTCAATAGCGAAAAAAAAGTACCACGCGTAGGCCGTGGCTCGGATTTTCTCGAGTAATTATTGGTCGGAAAAGTTATGAATAATATGTAAAAATTAATAATAAAATATATAATAAGGAGAGATGCCAACTAACCTGTTGCTGCTGCTGGTTCAGCTGCTTAAACTGAACATCGTCTTCGTCCACCTCAAAGTAGAATTCAGTATTGGTCACCGAAAAGGTGCCTGGGACGATGATCCCCGGCGCCACCAGCGAAGCAGAAACAGACAGATTGACAGAGCCTGCAATATCTGCGTCCAAGTCCCGATCATCCAAGTGCTGCATGTAGTCACCCGACGCCCCCGAATCGTCACCCATCAGCATGAGTTCCGCCGCAGCCGAGGTCTGCTGCTGTTGTTGCATCGACTGCTGCTGTTGTTGTTGGGCAGGGTCTATGACAGCTCCACCGCAACGACTGGCCCTTTGCTGCGCGGCAGCCAGTTGGGCATGGAACGCCTCACGGGCCTGCAAAATCGCGTCTTGCGGAGCCCCATGTTCGAGTGCAGCCTGAAAAACAATACCGAAAAAAAAAAATGTCGTGCAATAGCGCAGGGATCTGGAGAGTCAAATTTAGTTGCAGGTGCAGGTCTACTTCAACGATTCGATTACACATTTGCAAAATATATGTCGTATGTGCGAAGCCTTTCCATGAATTTTGTTACTTTAATCCAGAACCATGAGAAACTTGCTACAGTAGGGGAAAGAAGCATCAAATTTACAGCATTCCACGTAATTTTTAATAAAGCCTTTCCTAAATTCTGCATTGGTCTTAAGAAATAAAAATAAAGTGAAGGTTACAAAAATTGCAATTCAATCAGGAGCTCAGCTAGTCCATTCGTTAGCCTGTTCTTTTTATTTCGGTTCTCACAGCATGACTCGTTCTTTTGCATCAAGCCAACCTATGCTTTAAAAAATACAAGAACTCGAGCGTTATAAAATTTTTGAGCAGATTCCATTAAATTGTTAATTTAAAAAAAGCGGATTTTTCATAAACTGTACTGTTCAGCGAACCTGAAGAGCAAAAATTTTCAAGTTCGTTGGAATTTGAGTAGGAAATTAAAGAACCCTGAATGATGTTCGGAAAGTTGAACAGCTCCAGTGTGGTAGCTACGTCCGTCAAATCTTCAAAAATGTTCCGTGTAAATCTGGGACCACAGAAAGATCATCATCGAATGGGCGACTCAACACTAGAGCATCAATAAATACATTCTTTTCAATACAGTATATCATATCACCTTTCAGCCTTCGAGTAGAAAAAATTAAAATCAGCATGATCACTCAAAAGGACGGGAAACACCGGGATATGTTTCTGTCGCCTCGGATGAAGATTTGCGCGTACTTCGAAAATCAGCGA